CAGACTCTCCAACCAGCACTTCACTGAGCTCCGTCATGATTCTCGATGGGGAAGATGCGACTAATTACGAGAGAAGCAAGATGCGTGAAGCTATTTGGAGTGCCTCTCCGTCGAAGAAGCGGTGGCATCCCGATAAGTACACTCCGTCAAAGATCTCGGAGACTAACAATAATAAGGCCCGTTTGGTGTTGGAAAATGATGAGCTAAGGTTAAATCTCATGCCTCTTTCCACATTCGCAAGCTATTAGTATTATGTTATCCCCCTGTAGCGAGTATACTACTCAATGACTGCGGCTATGGGTGTTAATGCATTTGCGATTTGTACATAACATTATTGCTGGTATCATGTTGTTCTATTAGTTGAAATAAACTTATTATGATTCATCTAAGTTTGTTAGGTAACTCATTTATGACCCATTGAATACTCATTAGGTAATCCATTTATCACCCATTTATTGTCATGAGTTCTAGACCCATTTTACATCTCTAACTCTCTCTCACGCTCCACAACCAGTGCTCTCAGTAATTCGTGTTTCTTCTCACATTCACACCAGCAGCCAGAAAATAGACCTGAGAGAATCGATCACCAACCAGACCGACGTTGCCCTCACCCTCTCCAAGCAGCTCCTCTTGACCTAGGTCGAGGACTCCAACCTTGTCTTCTCTCCCCTCTCCATCCATGTCGTGCTTGGCCTGATCGCCGCTGGCTCCGTAGGGCCCACCCAGGACCAGCTCCTCTCTTTCCTCAAGGCCAAATCCACCGACCACCTCCACTCCTTAGCTTCTCAGCTCCTCACCATCATGCTCGCCAACGATAGCGCCGCCGGTGGGCCCAAGCTGTCCTTCGCAAACGGCATTTGGATCGATAAGTCGTTGGCTCTCAGGCCTTCTTTCCAACATGTGGTGGATGCGTCTTATAAGGTGGCCACTAATCTTGTTGATTTCAAAACCGAGGTTAGTTCTTGCTCTTTTTTCCGTGTTTTTTTTTGGGTTGAATACATGTGCGGTTTTCTTGGTTTCTTTGGTCGGATGGTTATGAGAGGTTGAGTGTCTGTGCTTAGGAATTTAACTAGGTGGTGTTCTACCTGTTTGCTGTTTCATGGGTTTAACACTCTTCCGTGGATTGAAATGTAAGAGTTTGTTTTATTTGTAAAAACGCTTCGAAAATCATTTCCTCTTCTAATTTTTCTTTTGGTTCGGGATTTGAAATCCTGCTTGTAATTGGTTGACTCGTTCAACCAAACCTCCCGGAATGGAACATCTGGTTTGGTTAAGGCAATAGCTCTTTCTTGTTGGCTTGCTTTTCTTCTAGGTGTGAAGTTTACTACAAACAAGCCCAGACAATATGTAAATCCTCTAAATTGAGCTCATTGTAACCTTGGGTTGGAGGCCTACATGATGAACATAAAAGGGTAAATTTGATGAATGGTCACAAAATCTGGTAAGCTTCAATGAAAAAAGGTCAATCTAGATGCGTTGGTCAATTGATTCTCCCAAACAATCATATAAAATTTACTTAACTAGGGCTTAGGTGACGTTGTTTGAAGCTATCAAGTTAAGAGGGACCTCGATCGTGCCCTGTAGATGCATTTACGAGAATTTCCTATTCTCTGTCATATTCTAAGCATGTTGAAGCCGTAAACTTTATGCTCCCGGAATGCAATTCGCTAGTGCAACAAGTTTTACCCTCCTAACAGAGGCAAATATTGATATTGCACCGGGCTCCTGTGCACTTCTTACCATAGCCATAGATCATATAAATACAGAGAAATAGAAATGACCATATAAGGAAAAAAAAAATTAAGCATAGCTATTACAGAATACGCTGCCCTCTAGCTGTACGAACCCCAATCATAGGTTACACTGTTATTTCTAATTGGGTATTTGCAGACTTGTCATGATCAAGCAATTTCCGGGTGGCTGTAGAATGGAGTGAGATGTGTCATTGTAGATGTTTATGGAAAATATAATTGTAGATTAGTTCTGCAGCTTGTGCTTGGATTCCACGCTGTGCTTAACTTAAGGATCTTGGAGAACTTACTTATCATGCAATCACCATGTTAAAGAACATCTTTTGTAGTCAAATACTTCAAGTAGTGCAATATCGACTAGTCAGACTCTCACATATGTTCCGTGAGTACTAGTATGTTGCCTTTGTTAGGAATTTCAGCAGTCCTCTGTTTGAATATCAGTCTTTCACTTTGTTGGTGCATGGAGTTATAGAAACATAGGGTGACCGTTTTTTGTAGGGACATCTTTGCTGACGGGGTTACCCTTTTTTCTTGTACCTATTGTTTTCTTGGTTCTCTAATGTTCCTTTTGTTGCCTAATTCTCTATATCAATGGTTCGTCTATACTACTTTGAGTTGTGAAATTGATGCTTTTGTTCTTTCTTAAGTCATGGTTGAGAATGTGGTTATGTGCTAATTAACTTTAGTATTGACCCGTAACTTTCATCCCTCCATAAATGGCTCGGATTCCAATTGAATTGGAGTCTTTTCTAAGTTCTTTTACATGACTTTCCTTTCTATTTGTTAAACACTAGCGTTAGCTGCTCGCTTTTTGTGTCACCTGGTATTCTATGTACTGATTAGAAGAACCCATTAGGCTGTTGAGGTGACTAGCGAGGTTAATGCATGGGCTGAGAAGGAGACCAGTGGCCTCATAAAGGAGGCTCTCCTGGCTGGCTTAGTTGACAGTTCAACTCAACTCATTTTTGCGAATACCCTTTACTTCAAAGGTGCTTGGAATGACAAGTTCGACCCTTCAAAGACAAAGGATAATGACTTTTTCCTTCTCAATGGGAATTCTGTTCAAGTTCCCTTCATGACTAGCGAGAACGAGCAGATCCTAGGGGCTTACGACGGTTTTAAAGTCTTGGCACTTCCTTATAAGCAAGGGGAGGACATGCATAAGTTTTCGATGTACTTACTTCTTCCAGATGCGAGAGACGGACTTCCAGCTCTCGTAGAAAAGTCGGTTCTGAATCTGGATTTCTGGATCGCCATCTTCCCTACAAGAAATTGGAAGTGGGGGAATTTCGAATCCTGAGATTCAAGATATCCTTTGGATTTGAAGCTTCAGAAGATCTGAAGAAGTTGGGATTGGTATTGCCGTTTTCGAGTGGAGGAGGATTGATGGAGATGGTAGACTCTCTCAATCTCTATGTCTCAGCCATATTTCACAAATCCTTCATTGAAGTTAACGAAGAAGGAACAGAAGCAGCCGCCGCTTCTGTTGTTATTATGAATGGGAGTTCGCGTTTTTCGGAGAAGATAGACTTTGTCGCCGATCACCCGTTCCTGTTCTTGGTGAGAGAGGATATGATTGGCATGATATTGTTTATGGGTCAGGTGTTCAATCCACTAGCTGACTGATTATAAGTCGAACAAGAGCGTTAGTATTCCTGACTATATTGGCAATAAAACGAGAGAATGTATGGTTTATTGCATATGTTTTGATGAATTAATTCATCAATGCACAATTAGGGAGGATGCAATATCTTATTGTATTGTATCAATTATCATCACATGTTCATGGACATGTATGTCTTCCCATCTCTTTGCCCCTTCTATTTTTTTTTTTCATAATAAAAGTATAGGGAATAGTTCTTTGATAATTCAAGTTTTTCTTTTGATCCGGAAGTATCTGTGCCTATAAACACATTTGAGATTTGCGCGATCAAAATCGAATACTTCCCAAATCAGCATTGAGTACATGTACTTACCGCGTCTTGGATTCTCACTTCGCCTGTCGCAGCTGCGTGAATGAAGAGACCTTATTTGTCCGTATACTTTGTGTGGCTTGACTTTGTTGATGTCTCTATCAAAAGAAAGGAACACAACACAAATGCTCTCTCAAGCCGAGCCCGAGGGACTCGCGAGCCGCTTGACTCACTTTTCGCCCCTATCCCTTGCTTTTCTTTTTTGAGCGGGCAGGGGAAAGGGTGTTTTTATGGGGAGGGGGGGTTTGTTTTTTAGGATGAAGGCCTGAATCCTCAAAGATGTATTACTTGTTTTGTCATAGAAGTATTTCAGTCATTATCTGTTTTGGTGAAGCCCTTGTGCTCACACTTGATATCCTGTTCTCCCGTGGCACTTATATTATTTCCCTTAGTTGTGATATTAATTTATTTGGTTCAAATTGCTCCCCCTCTTCGCCTGCAGGGATATTTGACGCTATCGGATAGTGGATGGGCTGAGAAGCAAATATACCAAGCTGCTCTCAATGGTAATCGCATGCAGAAAGACGATTAAGTTACGCCATTGTCAATTAGTTTATTATATGGGCACGGTAGCTATTAAAGTTCATTGGTCAAATGCCTCTCGCTGTCTACGAAATCCCTCCTCTGAGCTAACAATTTGCATAGTCACACAACTACGCATAGACGAGGTTGAAGCACTCTTGTGCTGCTGCAAGTCTGATTAATCGAGGCTGATTGATATGCAGGACATTGTACATTCGTTCTCTTTTAATGTCGACACTGAAAAATCTATGTGCAGAGTCCCGTGCAAAGCTACTATTCTTAAGCTCTATCTGATTTTGGTGTTCTAGCTTTTCTATTCCGGTGCAGAGTTGAATTTGCCCTCACTGCTTTGTCTAGGTGAACAGGGTTTGGTCTCCTTTTTCTTCCCTGTGCCCGTGTCTCAACATCTCTAATCCACTCAAAACAAATAAGAGCAGGGAAAATGGAGTGATCCCTTAGGTGGTGAGTTCAGGACACTAATCTTACAAGCCTTCCTACATTGATGCAATGTTGACTTTTCCTCTGGAAGTACGATTCTGCAAATCTAGAGTAATGGGGTATGCCCACAGATAGGTGATCTCTGGATTTTTTTTACTTTGGCCCTGTTCCATGATTCCATCTATGTATGAAACTCGTAATAATTATGATTTGAAGATGGGTGCTGTCCATGATGATTCTTCTGATGCACAATTTAAGGACAAGTTGGGCAAAACATGGGTCGAGGGAGAGGGATGGCTTCAGATTCCAGGTTCCATTAGACAGTAAAAATACTCTCCTTGGCGCTCTGTATGAAGCAGTATGATAGGTAAGACAGAAATGGAGTGTGCTATTGACCGATGCCGCTTTGAAAATCACTCAACCTTGCCTCACAAACCGGTCTAATTGTGTGCTCCTCAACTGGTGTGCTATTTACTATGGTAAGCAATTCCATATCCCGTGCAAGCAATTGCTGGGTACGAAGAAAAGCAAACCAACCCATGTCCTTGCAAGCAATTGCTGAGTTCGAAGTAAGCAAGTTTTGATGGCTCATATAGATCCAAGTGAATTGAAGTGAGTCTATGCTTCCTGCAACAAGACAGTACACCTCTCGCGTTATTCCAGTTCATCCTCGTTAAAAGTCGACAAGAATTCCAAACTTGTGATGGACATGATGATTCCACGATGTCGTTTTCCAGGATTTACGAACTATAGCCAAACAAGTTTTCATGAGACAATGAACCTACAACCGAAACAGCAACAACATAGAAGACAAACAGCGGCAGCAACAACATGAAAGCTCCCACCTTGAGGTCGAACGTCAACTTTAGGTTTCAAAGCAGCTTTCTGATTGAAGATAATAATGAACTCTTTGACCTTTCCATTTGCGCTGCTTCTACCAATGCCATCTTGTTGACCCGTTGGCGATCCCTGCGATGCAACCTTTGTTACTCCTTCCTTGTTCGAACTGCGAAAACCATCTTGTTTCTTTACTCCTTCATCAGCATCATTCTGCCCAAAAGACTGTTCAGTACTCCTCGAACTTTTAGATTCTGCTTCCTTCTTCCTGTCTGCCTTGACCTCATTACTATCTGCAACAGGAAAAAAGAGATGCTGAATTCGAGATTGCATGGAAAGATAAAAAAGTATTTGCAAAGAACGAAGAGGTTTTAATTCGGGCTTGGATAGTTCTTCCTCTTTCTCCATAATCTGACGCAAACCTGTCTGGGGCAGAGCTTGGGATTTTGTTTCTCCTCTTATTGGATGGCATGGCATCACTATGACCATCTGCGCTGTTCCTTAAGCTGCTCGAAGTTTTTGGTCTGCTAATACTGACGCCTGCTTCTTCAGCAGCGTGGCGTGTTTCCGCTTGGACTTGCAAGCTTGATTGCTCCATTGTCACAGGGGAGGCTGGAAGATGATGAGGTCAATAGAAGTTAAAACAAAGGCATTAATCGGAAATGTTTTACCTAACATCCTGAAGCGATTTCTATAGAGTATCCTTTTGCAGCCAAAAAGATGACGCGGAAACCATTTATTCAATATGATCGAAATTTCCAAAACTAGTTTTCTTCTGCTGTAAATGGAAAGCAAATTGAGACACGATAGCACCACCCTGGAGTCACTTTTTTCTCCTGACCTAGCCGTCTCACAACCAGAGCTCTCAGTAACGCGTGTTTCTTCTCACGTTCACACCAGCCACCAGAAAATGGACTTCAGAGAATCTATTGCCAACCAGACCGACGCTGCTCTCGCCCTCTTCAAGCAGCTCCTCTTGACCCGGGTCGAGGACTCCAACCTCGTCTTCTCTCTCAAAGAACAAAGAAATTTGATTCTTGATCTCAACGTACCATTGTTGAGATAATTTTCATTATATATATTACAAATGTTACAATTCGTAAGGAAACAATACAACAATGAAAATAATAAATGAAAAGATCATTATATTATAAGAGTTGTGAATCACTTGATTTTAGCATCTCCAAGAATTATCTCGTGATTTTGATTGATATCTCTATATACTTCTTCGTTGATCGATAAATCGGTATCTTTACTTCCCCCTCAAATTGGGAATAGGAGAATCCCAAATTTCGATTTGCGACATAAGTTTCCAAATCCATTTGTAGACAATGGTTCCATGAAGATCAGCAATTTGATGCACAAACGGGACATACTTAGACACAAGTGTTCCAAGAGCCACCTTTTCTCACACGTAATGATAATCTAATTCGATATGTTTAAATTTTGCATGAAACACTTGATTAATCGACATATAAAGTGCACTCGATATTATCACAAAATAATATTAGTGGACTAGAGAAATGAATACCCAAATCTCTTAAAAAGAATGATATCCATGGAATCTTTGCAGCTGTCGATGCCATTGCATGATACTCTGTTTCGGCACTAGATCGAGCAACCGTTCATTGCTTTTTAGCACTCCATGATATACAGTTGCTACCTAAGAAAGTACAAAATCCAGAAGTCGATTGTAATTGCTGGACAAAAGTCCAAAAAGGCTCTCGGGCCTTCTTTCCCACAGGTGGTGGATGCATCTTATAAGGCAGCCACTAATCTCGCTGATTTCAAAACCAAGGTTAGTTCTTGCTCTTTCTTCTGTTTATCGGGTCGAATACATGTGCGGCTTTCTTGGTTTCTTTGGTTGGATGGCTCCGAGAGGCTGAAGTGACTGTGCTTAGATATTGTGACTAGGTGTTCTACCCATTTGCTTTTTCATGGGTGTAACGCTCTTCCATGAATTGAAATGAAAGCGTATGTTTCATTCATGAAAAGAGTTTTGAAAATCATTTCCTCTTCTAATTCTTCTTCAGTTTGGGATTTGAAATACTTGTAATTGGTTTGCTTGTTAAACCAAACCTCCCGGAATGGAACATTTGGTCTGGTCAAGGCGATAGCTCTTTCTTGTTGGCTTGCTTTGGATTTCGCCTGGGTGGGAATTATACGCCAAACATGCACAAACGGTATGTAAATCCCTTAAATTGAGCTCATTGCAACCTTGTGTTAGAGCCCTACATGATGAACATAGAAGGGTAAGTTGATGAATGGTCTCACAAAATCTGGTTAGCGTCAAATGAAAAAAGTTCAATCCAGATGCGTTGGTCAACTGATTCTCCCAAACAATGATACAAAATTTACTTAATCAGGTATTTAGATGATGTTGTTTGATGCTATCAAGTTGGAAGGGAGCTCGATCTTGCCCTGTAGGTGCATTTGCAAGGATTTCCTATTCTCTGTCATATTTTAAGCCATATCAAAGACGGAAACTTTATGCTCCCAGAATGCAATTCGCTCTCCTAACCTTCCCATTCATCATCAATGTACTGATTTTCCACATATTAACTACATGGGAATTTGTAGCAGAGGCAAATATTGATATTGCATCCGGCTCCTGTCCACTTCTTACCATGGCCATAGATCATATAAAATACAGAGAAATCGAAATGACCATATTAGGAAAAGAAATTTGGCATAGTTATTACAGAATACATTGCCCTCTCGCTGTGTCAACCCTAATCACAGGTTACGCTGTAATTTCTTATTGGGTATTCGCATACATGTCATAATCAAGCAATTTCAGTATAGCTAAAGACCGAAGTGAGATTGTCACTCAAGCGATGAGCAAGTTATTTTACTTGAGTGACAATCTCAGTAAATTGGAACTCTTTGTAAAAACAATTTTGATCATACATGTAGATAATGCTCGAAAAGAATCAATACTTTGGCGAAAATGCAGAATTTAGCAATGATGACAGCCTTAGCTGGGCATATCATTGTGCTTCGTAGACAACATATACAGGTATACTTGTCCGACGAATAGTTGACTCCTGATCATACAAATTAGTTTCTAATATTGCAATGTGCGAATCGATGTACGCCGGCAAAAAGAAAGATTTTTATATTGTATGACAAACTGAAAGTTATTGCAGTGAACAAGATAACACATTGGCCAAATAATCGTTTTTCGACGGCCACGATGGCAGCCTTGTAGCGGGTGCCCACCGCCCGTTCGAAACAATTCCGGAGAGGCATGTAACCGGCAACCCAAACGCCATTCTGGATCGACAGTTTCGGCCCCTCTGTGCCCCTTCCGTTAGCTAACAGGTGTTGAGGTGGTCGATGGACTTCGCCTTGACGACAGAGACGAGCTGGGCTTGAGTGCGTCCGATGGGGAGCAGGCTCAAAACGGCGAGGATCGAATGGCGGATAGAAGATGACGTTCCAGTCCTCGATCTTAGTTGGGAACAGGTGCTTCTCGAGTGTCAGAGCGACTTCGCCCTGGTTGCAGGTGGATTCTCGGAGGCCATGGAAAATATTGTTGAATGAAGAATAATGGAAAGAGCATTTGTGTCCAGACTCACCCTCCGTGAAAATGAATTCAATGAGTGTGGTGTTCCCTTTTTTTGATAGAGACATCCACTAAGTCAAGTCACACAAACAAAGCATACGGACATATAAGCTCTCTTATTCATGCAGTTGCGAAAGGCGAAGGGAGAATCCAAGATGCGGAAGTACTTGTATTCAAGCTGATTTGGGACGTACTCGATTTTGAACACGCAAATCTCAAATGTGTTCATAGGCACAGATGCTTACGGAAAAAAAAAAACTCGAATTATCAATGAACTAGATGCAATATTCCCGATACTTTTACTCAGAAAAAATAAATAGAAGGGGCAAAGACATTGGAAGACATAGGTGTCCACGAACATGTCATGATAATTGATACAATACGAAAAGATATTGCATCCTCCCTAATTGTGCATTGACCGATTAATACATCAAAACATATGCAATAAACCAAACAACCTCTCGTTTTAGTGCCAATAGAGTTAGGAATGCTAATGCTCTTGTTCGACTTATGATTAGCTGGCTAGCGGATTGAGCACCTGACCCACAAACAACACCGTGCCAGTCATATCCTCTCTCACCAAGAATAGGAACGGGTGATCGGCGACAAAGTCCATCTTCTTCGGAAAAAGCGTACTCCCACACATAATAACAGCAGAAGCGGCGGCCGCTTCTGTTCCTTCTTCATTAACTTCAATGAAGGATTTGTGAAATATGCGTGCGACATAGAGATTGACGGAGTCCACCATCTGCGTCAATCCTCCACCCGAAAATGGCAATACCAATCCCAACTTCTTCAGATCTTCTGAAGCTTCAAATCCAAATGATATCTTGAATCTCGGGATTCGGAATTCCCGCACTTCCAATTCCTCGTAGGGAAGATGGCGATCCAGAAAGCCAGATTCAGAACAGACTTTCTCCACGAGAGCCGGGAGTCCATCTCTCGCATCCGGAAGAAATAAGTAAATCGAAAACTGACGCTTGTCCTCCCCTTGCTTATAAGGAAGTCCCAAGACTTTAAAACCGTCGTGAGCCGCGAGGATCTGCTTGTTCTCACTAGTCATGAAAGGAACTTGAACAGAATTCCCATTGAGAAGGAAAAAGTCACTATCCTTTGTCTTTGAAGAGTCAAACTTGTCATTCCAAGCAGCTTTGAAGTAAAGGGCATTCACAAAAATGAGTTGAGTTGAACTGTCAACTGAGCCAGCCGGGAGAATCTCCTTTATGAGGCCACTGGTCTCCTTCTCAGCCCACGTATTAACCTCGCTAGTCACCTCAATAGCCTAATGGGGTTCTTCTAATCAGTCCATAGAATACCAGGTGATACAAAAAGCGAGCAGCTAATGCCATTGTTTAACGAATAGAAAGGACATTCATGTAAGAACTTAGAAAAGACTGCAATTCAACTCAAATCCGAGCCATTTATGGAAGGATGAAAATTACGGGTCAATACTCAAGTTAATTAGCACGGAACCACATTCTCAACCATGACTGAAGAAAGAACAAAAGCATCAGTTTCACAATTCAAAATAGTATAGAGGAACCATTGATATAGAAAATTAGGCAACAAAAGGAACATTAGAGAACCAAGAAAATAATTGGCACAAAAAAAAGAAGGGTAAGCCCATCAGCAAAGAAATCCCCACGAAAAAGGGTCACCCTATGTTTCTATAACCCCATGCACCAACAAAGTGAAAGTCTCAAATTCAAATAGTGGACTGCTGAAAGTCCTACCAAAGGCAACACACTAGTACTCATGGCACATATGCGAGAGTCTGACTAGTCGATATTGCACTACTTGAAGTATTTGACTACAAAAGATGTTCTTCAACATGGTGATTGCATGTTAAGTCAGTTCTCCACGATCCTTAAGTTAAGCACCGTGTGGAAACCAGTAGCAGAAGCTGTAGAACTAATTTCCAATTATATTTTCCAGAAACATCTACAGTGACACATCTCACTCCGGTCTACAGCCATACTGAAATTGCTTGATCATGACAAGTATGCAAATATCCAATTAGAAATGATAGCGTAACCTGTGATTGGGGTTCGCACAGCGAGAGGGCAATGTATTATGTAATAACTATGCTAAATTTCTTTTCCTAATATGGTCATTTCGATTTCTCTGTATTTACATGATCTATGGCTACGGTGAGAACTGCACAGGAGCCGGATGCAATATCAATATTTGCCCCTGCTACAAATTCCCATGTAGTAAATCTGTGGAAAATCAGTACATTGATGATGAATGGGAAGGTTAGGAGGGTAAAACTTGTTGCACTAGCGAGTTGCAATCTGGGAGCATAAAGTTTACGTCTTTAACATGCTTAGAATATGACAGAAAATAGGAAATCCTTGTAAATGCACCTACAGAGGGCACGATCGTGGTCCCTTCCAACTTGATAGCTTCAAACAACATCATCTAAAGCCCGATTAAGTAAACTTTGTATGATCGTTGACCAACGCATCTGGATTGAACTTTTTTCATTTGAAGCTTACCAGAGTTTGTGACCATTCTTTTATGTTCATCATGTAGGCCTCTAACACAAGGTTACTATGAGCTCACTTTAGCGGATTTACATGTTGTTTGTGCATGTTTGGATTATACTTCATTAAGAAAGAGCTATTGCCTTAACATTCCGGGAGGTTTCTGTTAAACAAGTAAACCAATTACGAGCAGTATTTCAAATCCCAAACCGAAGAAAAATTAGAAGAGGAAATGATTTTCAAAACTGTTTTCACGAATAAAACATATTCTTACGTTTCAATCCACGGAAGAGCGTTCTGCCCACGAAACAGCAAATGGGTAGAACACCTAGTTAAAATATCTAAGCACAGTCACTTCAGCCTCCCAGAACCATCCGACCAAAGAAACCAAGAAAGCCGCGCATGTATTCGACCCAATAAACAGAAGAAAGAGAAAGAACTAACCTTGGTTTTGAAATCAGCGAAATTAGTGGCCGCCTTATAAGACGCGTCCACCACCTGTTGGAAAGAAGGCATGAGAGGCAACGACTTATCTATCCAAATGCCGTTTGCGAAGGACAGCTTGGGCCCGCCGGCGGCGCTGTCGTCGGCGAGCACGACGAGGAGGAGCTGAGAATCTAAGGAGTGGAGATGGTCGGTGGATTTGGCCTTGAGGAAAGAGAGGAGCTGGTCCTGGGTGGGCCCCGCGGAGCCGGCGGCGATCAGGCCGAGCACCATGTGGATGGAGAGGGGAGAGAAGACGAGGTTGGAGTCCTTGGCCCCGGTCAAGAGGAGCTGCTTCGAGAGGGCGAGGGCGGCGTCGGTCTGGTTGGCGATGGATTCTCTCAGGTCCATTTTCTGGCAGCTGGGTGTGAACGTGAGAAGAAACGCGCGTTACTGAGAGCTCTGGTTGTGAGACGGCTAGGTCAGGAGAAAAAAGTGATTCTAGGGTGGTGCTATCGTGTCTCAATTTGCTTTCCATTTACAGCAGAAGAAAACTTGTTTTGGCAAATTTCGATCATATTGAATAAATGGTTTCCGCGTCATCTTTTTGGCTGCAAAAGGATACTCTATAGAAATCGCTTTAGGATGTTAGGTAAAACATTTCCGATTAATGCCTTTGTTTTAACTTCTATTGACCTCATCATCTTCCAGCCTCCCCTGTGACAATGGAGCAATCAAGCTTGCAAGTCCAAGCGGAAACACGCCACGCCGAAGAAGCGGGCGTCGATTAGCGAGACCAAAAACTTTGAGCACTTAAGGAACAGCGCAGATGGTGCCATGCAATAAGAGGAGGAAACAAAATCCCACGCTCTGCCCCAGACAGGTTTGCGTCAGAATATGGAGAAAGAGGAAGAACTATCCAAGCCCGAATTAAAACCTCTTCGTTCTTTGCTAAGTGATAAAGATGAACACGGTAGTCTACATTCAGAGTTGTAGCTTTTATATCTTTCCATGAAATCTCGAATTCAGCATCTCTTTTTTCCAGTTGCAGAGAGTAATGAGGTCATGGCAGACGGGAAGAAGGAGTACTGAACAGTCTCCTGATGAGTACTGAACAGTCTCTTGGGCAGAATGATGCTGATAAAGGAGTAAAGAAACAAGATGGTCGGCGCGGTTCGAACAGCAAAGGAGTAACAAAAGTTGCATCGCAGGGATTGCCAACGGGTCAACGAGATGGCATTGGTAGAAGCAGCGCGAAAGGAAAGGTCAAAGAGTTCATGAATATCTTCAATCAGGAAGCTGCTTTGAAACCTAAAGTTGACGTCTGACCTCAAGGTGGGAGCTTTCGTGTTGTTGCTGCTGTTTGTCTTCGTCCAGCTTTCATGTTGGTGCTGTTTCGGTTCTAGGTTCATTGCCTCATGAAAACTTGTTTGGCTATAGTTCGTAAATCCATGTCCATCACAAGTTTGCAAACTCTTGTCGACTTTCAACGAGGATGAACTGGAATAACACGAGAGGTGTACTGTCGTGTTGCAGGAAGCATGGACTCACTTCTATTCACTTGGATCTATATGAGCCATCAAAACTTGCTTACTTCATACTCAGCAATTGCTTGCAAAGGACATGGATTGGATCTATATGAGCCATCAAATTTTGCTTTTCTTCTTTCCCAGCAATTGCTTGCACGGGATATGGACTTGCTTTCCACAGTAAATAGCACACCAGTTGAGGAGCACACAATTAGACCAGTTTGCGAGGTAAGGTGGAGTGATTTTCAAAGCGATGTCGGTCAATAACACACTCCATTTGTCTTACCTCTCCTACTGCTTCGTATAGAGCACCGAGGAGAGTATTTTTACTGTCTAATGGAACCTGGAATCTGAAGCCACCCCTCTCTCTTGACCATGTTTTGCCCACTTGTCCTTCAATTGTGCGTCAGAAGAATTATCGCGGACAGAACCCATCTTCAGATCATAATCATTACGAGTTTCATACATAGATGGAACAGGACCAAAGTAAAAAGATCCAGAGATCACGTATTTGTCGGCATACCCCATTACCCTAGATTCGCAGAATAGTACTTCCAGAGGAAAAATCAACATTGCATCAACGTAAGAAGCCTTGTAAGATATAGTGTCCTGAACTCGCCACCTAAGGGATCACTCAAATTTCCCTGCTCTTATATGTTTTGTGTGGATTAGAGATGTTGAGACACGGGCACAGAGAAGAAAAAGCAGACCAAACCCATGTTCACCTTGACAAAGAAGTGAGGGCAAATTCAACTCGCACCGGCTAGAACACCGAAACAGATAAGAGCTTAAGAACAGTAGAAGAGCTTCAGAACCGTAGCTTTGCAAAGGACTCTGCATATAGATTTTTCAGTGTCAAAATTAAAAGAGAACGAATGTACATTGCTGTGCATATTGATCAGCCTCGACTAATCAGACTTGCAGCGGCACAAGAGAGCTTCAACCTTGTCTATGTGTAGTTGTGTAACTATGCAAATCGTTAGCTCAGAGAAGGGATTGCGTCAAGCAGCAAGAGGTATCTGACCAATGAACTTTAATATCTACCGTGTCCATAGAATAACCTAATTGACAATGGCGTAACTTAATCGCCTTTCGCATGCAAGCTTACCATCAAGTGCGGCGTGGTATATTTGCTTCTCGGCCAATTCACTATCCGATAGCGTCAAATTTCCCTGCAGCGAAGAGGGAGAGCAATTTGAACCAAATAGATTTACATTACAACTGAGGTTATATAAGTGCCACGGGAGAGCAGGATGTCAAGTGCGAGCACAAGGGCAGCACCAAAACAGATAATGACTGAAATACTGCTATGACAAAACAAGTAATACATCTTTGAGGATTCAGGCTTTCTTCCTCCAAAAAGAAACCTCTCCAGCCCCCCACCCCCCCCCCCCCCCCTCCCATAAAAGCACCCTTTCTCCGCCTGCTCAATAAGAAAAGCCAAAAGCAAGGTCTGACAAAAAAAAAAAATAATAATAGGAAAAGCCAGGGATAGGGTGAAATGTGAGTCAAGCAGCTCGTGAGCACCTCGGGCTCGGCTCAATTATTACTCGAAATCGACTTGCCTAATTTCGAGTCTAGTTGAGTTCGAGCTCACCAATACTCCACTCGACAAGCTTGGGAGCCATATTGAGTCTAATTGAGCTTCTATTATTATTTATAAAAATATTCTACAAAAACAAAAAAAAAGACATAAATTTAAATTTCACCCTCATGAATTACTTCTACTGGTTATTGGCAGGACTAAGCGTCGTGAATTTTGGGTTCTTTTTGCTGTGTGCGTCTTGGTATGGATACCAGACAGCGGACATGAATGGAGGAGCAAACGGTTTGACTTTGACTGCTGGTGATTCTAAAGCAAATGGTTTGACTGGGGTTGATTTTAATTCTAATGCAACCATGAAAGGGTAGGCTCTAGAAATTTAGCTTCATTAAGTTGATTAAAATCCCATTGCAGTGTTCATGTCATATAATCCATGGCTTCATCACCACCACTGTACTACTCTCGAACTGTTTCACTCCGTGGATACCTCTCGAATCTGCATTCATTTGTTTGTTTTTTTCTTTTTTGAGAGGGGGGGGTGTTGGGGGTTGGGGTGGTTAAAGAATGGACTGTATCCATGAATCTCTGGCTTCAGGGAAAGGGCAGAGGTAAGCTGAAGAACTTTTTTCATGGCGCTGCCGTAGAGCCTTTTCCTAATAACTAAAGAAAAGTATTAGTTAAGCTTATTTGATGAAGAAAAATGTGACCTCGCATACATAAATTACGTTTGCCAAGTTGAACCGAGACATGCGTACGGTGAAGAAGCTAATACATACCTAAGAAATGACAAAAGTAAAATAATGCGCAATCCAGCAGAAAAGCTACGAGATACTGAAGAAAATAATCTACTGCACAAATAATATGTTGATAGGGATCCCCTTCTAGCTGTTCATGAATTTCTACAGCATTCTGAAGAAATTAACCAAGGAACGCATGCCTTCAACTAGAACGGCACAAACATTTGGTTTGCATTCCGATTAAATTTCGTCACTCCCTTCACTAAATCAACACAGACAGAAAGGATTATGCACTTCACAGAATACGCTGGAAAATTTCTCGGTTACTACACTTCAAACACAGATGAAAATAGTGCCACATATGGCTCAAATCTTAGGCTCTCGCCACTCTTCTATTATAAATGTAACAAAATGTCATTACAGGAAGGAAAAAATTGCGACACTGGCTAAGTAAACCCATGAACAAACTATTGGATCAGTCTCTGTCTTTCTTTTTCTTTTTCCCTTTTCTTGGGTTTTTGGTTTTTCTCTTTTTTTTTTGGATCTTTTCTCGGTTCTTTTTACCTCTCACTATTCACAGGATGGATGAGACAATCCATCAAGAACAGGCAAAAGCAAGCTGCCTGCGCAAGGTTAAAGGAAGACTCGAACATATTCACATATGCTCAACAATGAGACAGAAAGAGTGGAGAATAATTGTAAAAATCACCACGTAAATTAGATAAGGAGTCAACAGCCGATTGCCCTATCAGCGAGCATGAGGCTATGTCAGGATCCAACATCTTCTTTTGCAGATTAAGGCTCAGATCTAGTGTCCGAGACCCTGGAAGGAGGCCGATACCGGAACACTGATCTGCCAACAATGTTCTTGATAGGAGGCGGACCCCTGCAAGTATCAAAACTTCACACGTCAGAATTCACAGTAATCAAATCAAGCGAATGACCATCGAATACACAAATATACAACAAAAAATGACAATTACTCTGCTCAACTACGAAAACTAAACAGAACCAAGCTCCTAACGTTCTGAAAACAACTAAATAATAGAAGGTGCATACAAAAGTTGCAAAATTCTCTATTCCCCCAGATGCAATTTACTCGATTCATCGCTTTACACAAGGAGGAGTAGGAATTAGCGGAAGACACAAAACTCACCAGTTATGGGAGTCAAAGCTGTTGTTCCTCTTGTCTCCCATTACAAATACATATCCTTCAGGAATAAGCTGCAATTGAAACGGTCAGAAAGCTTGATCAAAATGTCGGCTGTGTGATGCTATTAGCAAATTAAGTTGGCACGACTTCAAATTAGCATCGCCAATAGTTCCATCTCATAAGAAAGTGGCTCCAATATGGAAATCTTCATCTTGAGCAGCACTGTTCACCAATAGTTTACCATCGCGAACCTACAATAAAAACCACCAGGCATTCAGAATTAGTACAAAGAGAAACGCAGTTGTTACGTGCATGAGAGTGGACAGGAGGGTACATGTAAAAAACAAGTCGGAATAAAAGGTGCAGGATTGAAGATAAAGACTTCAACGTAGTCCCCAGCCTTTGCCACAAAATTACGGATCTTGGTTCGCGTTTTATGGCATTTCCACTATCAGAAAAATCCAATCCCGCAAAGGATTGTTCGTGGAACTACTATCGAGATTCTTCGGACCATATTTCCTAGTATCATCCTGATGTTCATTGCTATACCATCATTTGCTCTTGTCAACAAGGCTTCGCACAACTAAATACTAACAAACTGTTCAATACATCGGCTGAACTGAAGCCAACTTGCTGCACGCCACAAACAAAGCAAGAAACTAATAAGCAATGTGCAAATTTTGCGGAGCAATCACAACTTGGTTAACTGCAATTTTTCAAATACCATTAAAAGAAATCTGCAATATTGGCGGTGCCTGGAATAATAATAGTATATCCGAAACCTCTGGCTTTCTGAAAGGGTATGAAACCTGGTGCCAACAGACAGCAAACGCCAACACAACAAATCGGGTCATTATCATTAAACACATCAGGTCTTGACACGAAGCAGATCCCCGAATGCAAACCGTTTGCAAGTGGACGCAAATTGCAAACTTCGCCGTAACTGGAGGAGGTGCGGGTGAATCGGGCCTGGGAGTCGTCGTAACTGCTAGTTTTAGTAAAATCTACGGTTCTGGGTTAGGGGTGCCAATGGATCGGGTCGGGTCAGGTTTTCATGATGCCCGGCCTGGCCCGACCCGACCCGATATAATGATCATATGTGTTTGGCCCGACCCAAGACAAGACCCAAACATGATACAGCTGCACGATCAGATCGGGTTGGGTTGGGCCGGGCCGGGTCGGGTTTTGTGTTTCATATTTTAATTTTAAATTAATGTTAGGTTACAGCGGCTTCCGCCTCGGCCTCGGCCGCAGCCGCCTCCATACCTTCCTCTCCCGCCACCACCGTGGCCAACCCGCCGTAACCGCCCCCGTTGTAGCTAAGGATCCTTTGGGTTGAAGAAGACATAAACCAGGATGAAGAAGACACCAGACCAAGCAGCTGAAACGCCTCCATTAATTGCAGAATTTTGAAAATTATTGACAATGATTACAAAGATTGCAAAAAAGCGCTCCACTTACCTACCTTCAGATCTAAAAGACTGAACCATTTTCAAACATAAGCAACTGCAGATGAATAGAACATATAACCTTCGATTTTCAGCTTCTAGAACGCTTCATTCACCGACGTTGGACGACCGAAAATAACCAAAGGAAAGAATCCTCGACGGTCCTGAAATCGATGAGGATAATGAGTCGCACTTGATCTAGAACTCGACAGCCTCGCCGAGGGCGAGGCTGCGAAAGCCCTCGGACTGGAGGACGAAGAGATTCTTGGAGCCGTCATCGGGGGTTATGAAGCCGAAGCCCTTCTGGTCGCTAAACCACTTGACCTTCCCTGTGATTCTTTTGGCCATGGCCCCTTTCGGAATCGACTTCGCAGCCTCAGGAACAGCAGATTGCAAGAAATCCTACCTACCCAGAAGAGGCGAGAGAGTGTGTGAGAGAGATGTGGAACAGAGATGTTTCATTGTTTGGGTTGGGCTGGGTATCCGAGCCCAATAAACCCAAAACAATTGGGTATTGTTTTGATTGTTACCCAAACAAGTCGAGGCTCAACCCGACCTAATATGAAAATTTTCGGGTCGGGTCGGGTCGGGTTGAGTCGGTTCAGATCGTGTTTGACCGGGTTATTTTGACAGCCCTATTCTGGGTATCGCACAAAATCGGGTTTTTGCTACAAATCCGATGATGGGTGATTCCGCTTTCTCTCGGGAGATTGAAAGAAAGCAGAGAGAGAGAGAGAGAGGAATGGATCGAATGCTGTGAAGATGGCGGCAAAAAAACAGGAAAGTGCGGGAAGATGACGATGGAATCATCTAGCATCCACCTCACCTCAAACGTTAGTCTTTCCTAGTTGTCGCCAAAAAGATCTTGTCGGACGGGAGATCGATGCCGGTGCCATCTAATGTTAACGTGATATCATTCGGTCATGCCGCCTCGTGGGGCGAGGATTTAACCATGGCCGATTTTCTGAAATAATTATATTTTCGTACCCTTCTTTTATATAGGCTGGGCTGATGAAAAAAAATCCCAATCACCACTTTCAGTGACGTTCCACATTTTCGATAAAATCTTTTCTAACAATTGGCTTAATTCAAAGGCAACATGCCGACCAACCGATAGCAACGAGTGAATCTCGGCTCATGCTCCTCCACCGGAAGAGATTTTCAACCGGCAAATCTCATTTCTTTTTTTGTGGAGCTTTTACTGCTCGAACGTTCATTTTTTGTAAAAATATATAATTGTGTATGACCATGTCAATATGTCTCGAAAGATTTCCAATAGTCAAATTACGAAAGATGTAAAGAAAAAGGTGAGAGACAAAATACAGAAACGAAACACGGACGCGCCAAGACGTTTTTAAATGTTCTCTTTTGGACTTTTTCCCGAGCGCTCGAAAGAGTTCAAATCGATCTTAGACATCATTAAAGTAGATCAAGATAATGGATGATTGACAAAGGCCTCGTTGGTCCAACCCCTTAGGATTTCGTTTGTCTCCCGAAAATTGAATAATTTAGAAAATATTCCCATAAAAACGATGGCTTGCACTCCTTGAAATAACTAGTTAATGAAAAATATTTTCATTATCAAACTTTGCCGTGAACCGGGAAAAATATTTCTCATCCATTTATTTTTGTCAGTGATCGTTCTTAAGCAAGATGTTTTGAGGAAAATGTTTTGTGAATCACTCATTTTTTGCAAAACAAGCAGAGCCTAAAAGCACCCACGTGCGGGCAACAGGCCGTGTCGGCCTGAACATGACGTGGCCTGGCAAGCCTAAGCTCACGCCGTGTCGCGCGCAAAAAAAGAAAAGAAAATAAAAAGAAGGGGTCGAGCCTAGCATGGTCCCTTTGCTTCCAAGCCCAAACCTCGTGAACTTAACCAAGGTGCTACCATGGGAGAGATGGTTATCTCCGAGGAAACCCCTGAAGCGATTGCAACGCCAGCTTCGCGGTGAAGAACATCCTGTGCTTGGAATTTCATTGGAAGTCCTAAAACTTGTCGTAACAGTACAATTGAGTTCTCCCGTGTATATATCCCCAAAAAAAATAGCACTGAATAAGAAATGACATATCTGGGACGCAAAAAAACTATTGTCCTAACAACAAAACTGCCGCTGATAACATCAAACTGCTTATCCTTGCACGTAATATGATCATCTTGAATTATTCTCATATGAAAATCATTCAGCTTTATTAAGCCGTGCGGATTGCTGCTGCATAGTCACTGATGCCATAATTAGCACGATGGCCACTAGTTTATCAGTAAGAGAAGAGTCGATCAATTGCATTGGGGGGGGTGTGGAATATAGAATGCGATTCACACCCAAAAGCCAAGTGGGTGGGAAAGCTTTTGATGTCTGTTAAATACTGCAGTTCAGTTCACACCCAAAAGCAAGTGGTTTCTATTGAAGACAGAGGCGATTATGCAAAAGCGTGTCAACATAATTGCCTGTTCGGCATGCAAAGATCACTGCCATGTTCATAGGCATTTCCATTTAGTTCTTGTTCTGGTGTTCGCAGGCTGTTTAATAAGCTTTACAAAGTCTTGCACATATCTCTAAACTGTGCTTGCTTGTGCGCATTAATCTCATCTATTTTCGTAATGAACGCCGTGTGTGAATGTTGATACCCGAGAGGAACTGTGAAGATAGAATTACTTGCACATAGCAAAACATTCCACAAATTACTGCAGTTCACACCCAAAAAGCAATTGGTTTCTATTAAAAATCACTGCCATGTTCATCAATATTTCCTTTTATTCTCGTTCTGGTGTTCTGGTATTTGCGGGCTGTTTAATGAGCTTTGCAAAGTCATGCACCGCCATGTTCATCAGTATTAAAAATCACTGCCATGTTCATAAGCATTTCCATTTAGTTCTCGTTCTGGTGTTCGTAGGCTGTTTAATGAGCTTTACAAAGTCATGCACATATCTCTAAACTGGGCTTGCTTGTGCGCGTTAATCTCATCTATTTTCGTACTGAACGCCGTGTGTGATTGTTGATACCCGAGAGGAACTGTGAAGATAGAATTACTTGCACATAGCAAAACATTCCACAAATTACTGCAGTTCACACCCAAAAAGCAATTGGTTTCTATTAAAAATCACTGCCATGTTCATCAATATTTCCTTTTATTCTCGTTCTGGTATTTGCGGGCTGTTTAATGAGCTTTGCAAAGTCATGCACCGCCATGTTCATCAGTATTAAAAATCACTGCCATGTTCATAAGCATTTCCATTTAGTTCTCGTTCTGGTGTTCGTAGGCTGTTTAATGAGCTTTACAAAGTCATGCACATATCTCTAAACTGGGCTTGCTTGTGCGCGTTAATCTCATCTATTTTCGTAATGAACGCCGTGTGTGATTGTTGATGCCAGGGAGGAACTGTGAAGATAGAATTACTTGCACATAGCAAAGCATTCCACAAACTTACTGCAGTTCACACCCAAAAAGCAATTGGTTTCTATTAAAAATCACCGCCATGTTCATCAGTATTTCCATTTAGTTCTCGTTTTGGTGTTCGCGGGATGTTTAATGAGCTTTGCAAAGTCATGCACATATCTCTAAATTGGGCTTGCTTGTGCACGTTAATCTCATCTATTTTAGTAATGAACGCAGTGTGTGATTGTTGATGCCTGTGAGGAACTGTGAAGATATAATTACTTGCACATAGGCAAAACTTTCCAAAAAATTACTGCAGTTCACACCCAAAAAGCGATTGGTTTCTATTAAAAGTCACGGCCATGTTCATCAGCATTCCATTTAGTTATGGTTCTGGTGTTCGCAGGCTGTTTAATGAGCTTTCATATCTCTAAACTGGGCTTACTTGTGCGCGTTAATCTCATCTATTTCAGTAATGAAGGCGGTATGCGATTGTTGATGCCCGTGATAACTGTGAAGATAGAATTACTTGCACATAGCGAAATCATCCAAAAAATACTGTAGTTCACACCCAAAAGGCAATTTGTTTCTATTAAAAATCACTGCCATGTTCCTCGGCATTTCCATTTAATTCTCATTCTGGTGTTCGCAGGCTGTTTAATGAGTTTGTAGAGTCATACACATATCTCTAAACTGGGCTTGCTTGTGCGCATTAATCTAGTCTTGCGTCAATGCTCATGAGGAATTGTGAAGATAAAATTACTTGCACATAGCGAAACCCTCCCAAAAATACTGCAGTTCACACCCAAAAAGCAAGTGGTTTCTATTGAAGATCACTGCCATTTTTATCAGCATTTCCATTTAGTTCTCGTTTTGGTGTTTGCAAGCTGTTTTAATGAGCTTTGCAAAGTCATACACATACCTCTAAACTGGGCTTGCTTGTGCGCGTTAATCTCATCTATTTTAGTAATGAACAAGGTGTGTGATTGTTGACGATAGTAAGGAACTTGTAACTTCTTCGGTCATCATCTCCCGTCATCATTTTCATGTCGTTCCTCTATATAAACAACACTCGACTCCTCCAAATTCCCCACATCCTTCATACCATCACGTTGCATTGAGTTTGAGCTGTCCAATACGAAATGGGGTTCAAGAAACTCATCTTCTTAGTTGCCTTGGCGCTCGTGTCAATCCTCGGGATCGCCGAGAGCTTTGACTTCCACGAGAGGGACCTGGCGTCAGAGGACAGCCTGTGGGACCTGTATGAGCGGTGGCAGAGCCACCACGGGGTGTCCCGGAGCCCCGATGACAAGCACAACCGGTTCAACGTGTTCAAGCAGAAGGTCATGCACGTCCACCGAGTGAACCAGCAGGACAAGCCCTGCAAGTTGAAGCTCAACAAGTTCGCTGACATGACCAACCACGAGTTGAGGAGCTCGTGTGCTGGGGTGGACGATGACCACCACAGGATGTTCCATGGGGCGCAACGCGGCTCCACGAGCTTCATGTACGAGGACGACACTCTGGTGCCCCCGTCTATTGACTGGAGGGAGAAGGGCGCGGTCACCGATGTCATGCACCAACGCGGCTGCGGTATGTATACGATTCACTGCAGAATTTTCCAAGACTATTTCACATCTCTTATTTTAATGAGGTCTTGAGTCGCTATGCATCCTAAGATTCTTCACCAAACCCGATCATTAAATTCCACATATTTCTCATTTCAGTTTCATTAAATTTTGATTGCTTGCAGCTGAATTTCGCTGTGTTGTTTTTGATGGAACAGGTAGTTGCTGGGCAATCTCGGCCGTGGCAGCGGTCGAGGGAATCAATTACTTGAGGACGAACAAGGTCCTCTCTCTTTCCAAGCAAGAGCTGGTGGACTGCTCGTCCCCACCAAACGAAGGGTGCAAGAGCGGGCACAAGGAATATGCATTCGAGTTCATCAAGCAAAATGGCATCACGTCCGAGTCGAATTACCCGTACCAAGCTATCGATGGGACCTGCGATGTCGCCAAGGTTAATTAATCACAATCTTAGCTCAACTCAACTCTATATCCCATGAAATGTTGTCATTAATCTATAAATTTCCCTTTGAAAACGCAGGTGAATTCTCCTGTTGTGTCGATCGATGGATACGAATATGTGCCATTTAACAACGAGGATGCGTTGCTGAAGGCGGTTGCAAATCAGCCCGTTTCTATGACCATCGAAGCCCACGGTGATGACTTCCTATTATACTCAGAGGTAAAATTTACTCGATATAAATCTGACTAGAGACAATTACGAGTAATTAGCAGACTTCACGTGCTTGCTTCCATTTAAAAAGCTACTGAATATGTTCATTGGAACCGTTCTTATCGGCGAAATTATCAGGGCATATTCACTGGACAGTGTGGCACGGAGCTAAGTCATGAAGTCGCAATCGTCGGCTATGGGAGCACTCTCCAGGGGACCAAGTACTGGATCGTGAAGAACTCGTGGGGTCCGGAATGGGGTGAGAAGGGCTACATAAGGATGCAGCGCGGCATCGCTGCTAAGGAAGGGCTCTGTGGCATAGCCATGCTGGCCTCATACCCCGTCAAGAACTCGAATATTCCCGGTGGAGTTCATTCCTATTAAGGATGAACTCTAAGCACTGACTCAAGATTGACTAGTGATAAAGAGTGTCTTGGCTTTCATTTGTTTCCTCTGTTTGAAGTGGGCATGTCCCGTCACAAAGACACAAATAATGTCTGCTCTCAATGATTCCTTTATGCGCGTTCATAGGGTCTCATAGGCAGCGAGATAAGTTGGTCTTTCCTAGAATTTTATTTTTAATGATGCGAGATATACAATGATTCAATTCCTCTGTTCCAGCACATCTGCATGATGCACCTTCATCTGTATTGATGGAGAAACAATCCCAATACACAAGTGATAACTACAGCAATCGTCCAATCAGATCTGCATCTGAAGTTCTATGCCTCGTAGCATATAAATGACAACTACTGCAATCGTCCAATTAGATCTGCATCTGAAGTTCTATGCCCGATAGCTTATAAATGAGGTTGTGCTGAATTCTTGAGCTTCAAGTCTCCAACAGCTAAGCTTCCATAAGCTGATGATTCACTTCAAAAACCCATCTTATCTACGTAGCGCACAAGCAGGCCAAGTACACTTCCATTAGAAATTAGGTCCCCAGCAAAAAGGCCTATTAAGCAAGCCCATGATAACCATGTACGTAACCCAGCACGATCCCTACTCCGGGTACTTCCCTTCGATCCATCCGCAGCAAATGAGGGTCCGTCAAATACGAGCAATGATAGGACGACTCTATCGAAACAATCACTACGTCAACAATTATGACATGATCAACGGGCTTGCTTGTGCGAGTTAATCACATCTATTTTAGTAATGAACACAGTGTGTGATTATTGATGTCCACGAGGAACTATGAAAATACAATTACTTGTACATAGCAAAACCCTCCAAAAGATTACTGCAATTCACAACCTAAAACCAAGTGGTTTTTATTAAAAATCACTACCTTGTTCATCAACATTTCCATTTAGTTCTTGTTCCCGTGTTCGCAAGCTATTTAATGAGCTTTGCAAAGTCATGCAAATATCTCTAAACCGGGCTTACTTGTGCTCGTTAATCTCATCTATTTTAGTAATGAGCGTGATGTGTGATTATTGATGCTCGTGAGGAACTGTGAAGATATAATTACTTGCACGTAGCCAAAACTTTCCAAAAAATTACTGCAGTTCACACCCAAAAAGCAATTGGTTTATGTTAAAAATCACTGTCATGTTCATCAGCATTTCTATTTAGTTCTCGTTTTGGTGTTTGCAAGCTGTTTTAATGAGCTTTGCAAAGTCGTACACATACCTCTAAACTGGGCTTGCTAGTGCACGTTAATCTCATCTGTTTTAGTAATGAACAAGATGTGTGATTGTGATAGTAATGAACTTGTAACTTCTTCGGTCATCATCTCCCGTCATCGTTGTCATGTCGTTTCTCTATATAAACAACACTCGACTCCTCCAAATTCCCCACATCCTTCATACCATCACGTTGCATTGAGTTCGAGCTGTCCAATACGAAATGGGGTTCAAGAAACTCTTCTTCTTAGTTGCCTTGGCGCTCGTGTCAATCCTCGGGATCGCCGAGAGCTTTGACTTCCACGAGAGGGACCTGGCGTCAGAGGACAGCCTGTGGGACCTGTATGAGCGGCGGCAGAGCCACCAACAACATTGACAAGCACAACCGGTTCAACGTGTTCAAGCAGAAGGTCATGCACGTCCACCTGGTGAACCAGCAGGACAAGCCCTACAAGCTGAAGCTCAACAAGTTCGCTGACATGACCAACCATGAGTTGAGGAGCTCGTGTGCTGGGGCGGACGATGACCACCACAGGATGTTCCATGGGGCGCAACGCGGCTCCGCGAGCATCATGTACGAGGACGACACTCTGGTGCCCCCGTCCATTGACTGGAGGGAGAAGGTCGCGGTCACCGATGTCATGCACCAACGCCAGTATGTATATACGATTCGCGGCAGAATTTGCCAAGACTATTTCACTAAATTGGCATGTGTACAATTGGTTTAGAACTAATTGGGTAATTTTTCCTCAATTTTATCTAGGCAAGAAAGAAATCTACTTTCTAAATATTGACAAAAAATGTAACGGAGAATAACTCTGTGCATCTTATCATCCTATCATTTATACCATCATCATGAAATAAATTGGACCTATCTCAATCATTAATTTCCCAAATGAATTAAAATGTTAATTTATCTTCCACGAATTTCGGTTTTTAATGACTGGATCTTTTCTATCCTAAATAAAATAACCATACAAAAAATTTCAAATTTTTAAATATTTTGTCTTCCAACAAATATGTGTACACGTTTTAGCTTTGTATGCTCTATCAACTATATCTTCCTATCATTTGATGTTCTAATATTTCATAATAAGTTGATTTCACTTAATAATGTAGCAATGCAATGATAGGATTGAAATCTGATCACTTCACTTGACGTGCAACTATTATTGTAGCTTTGACAATACTGTTCTCTCATATGTTGCTTTTGTTGTTGATATCTCGAACTGACAAAACATGTAAAAAGCATCTTGACTTATTTCGATTTCTAAAAACAGTATGTATATTTTCTGAAAAAATTGGAATGTGTAATATTATTGGAGCTTTCACAACACCTGTGTCACGTAGTCTCGTCCAATATATTCTCCATCCACCGTCTTGTTTATGATTTTGAGCCTCCAACTTACTCCTTCAAGGAAAACTGGGGCAAAGTCTTCGTTTTTGTGCAACAACACTTGACAGACAAAATCATATCATCATCAAACGTTCGATGCTTATTTACTCGCCTCACATTGAATACGCAGGCTGCTGGAGCGAGACAGCAGGTGAATTCATGTGTCAAAAAGCAGACTAAAGGCCTCATCGAGAAGCTTGTCCCTCCCGGTTCGATCGACAGTGACACTCAGCTTGTTCTTTGTGAGCGCTCTCTATTTTTTACTCCTCAATGGCGGCTCGACTAAAGCCCCCATCACGACCAGCAACCACAGGCGACCTGTTATCGTCCCCAACGGTTTCAAAGCCTTGTGTCTTCCTTATAAGAGAGTGAGTGGCATTGAGGATAGGCGCGATTTCGCAACGTAAATGTTCTTTCTCTGGTGGAGAGGCTTAGCTCGGAACGTGAGTCTTTATATGCTATCTCCTGCGCTGGTCATTCGGCGTGCACAATTTCAGAATCAAAGCGTAAAATATATATCCTTAGGGGTCAAAGCCTCGGGGCCTCTGCAGGAGCTGGTGTGACATCCTAAAAATTCGTCCGTTTGGGATTTATAAAATACTGAGTTTTATAAATGTACTTGCAGTTAATTCTCGCCCGGAACTGATCATTCCTGGGATACTAACCATTAGGGAAAGGCTAACTAGAGAATTAAATTCGTACGACTAATAGAAAATTCGATCGTGATTTATTTTCGACCATGAAATCGCCGAGATGATATTTTGAGCCACTGTTGGCCGATTCAAGGATAGTCAGGGGTCAGTTCGCCACTGTCATAATAGTGGGTCGCGGGTGATTCCGCCGGACCACGAAACGAATTGACGAATGATCCTGAACCTATACCGAACGATCGTACCCCTCGGATCTAGTGATTGATCCTCGCGATTTTAATGACAACCGAAATCATCACGAACCGAACGGACTTGCACGTGACTCGATATATTATCAATCACGAGTCGAATATGCGAATTTCCCCAACAAGCCGCCCGTTAGTATGAGAAACGCTCGAGTTGCGTTTAATAAAATTTGATTATTTAATTTAGCCCAAATCGGACACCGGAAAATTTGGAAGTCGCAACGGGACGTTAGGACGACGTTGCGGATGTAACGTGCAATTTTGGATGCGCCCGAATCCTTCAGAAAAATTCATTTTCGATGAGAAACGGAGAAACTGACCATTTTACCCTTGGAATTTATTAAAGGGTTAGTTTTAAAGGGCAAGGGCATTTTGGTAATTTTTCCCTAACTTTTTGATTGGACAATTTTGCCCTTGGACTTTTTGAGAAATTACAAGATTACCCTTGGATATTTTTGGTAAGATTCGATCTGGGCCGTCGGTTTCAAGATAAGATCGAATCTGGACCTTCGGATAAAAAATGTGAGAGATGGGCATTTTGGTAATTTGCCAAATTGGTCAAAAGTGCACTATTTAAGTCTAGACCACTCTTCTCTCTCTCCTCTCTCTCTCATTCCCCCATTCGGCCCCCCCTTGCCGTGAAGCCCCCCCTCTCCGGCCGCCTCTCTCCCTTCGCCATCACTGCCGCCGTACGCCCGCCGGACCGCCGCTGTGCCGCGCCGTCCTCACCGCCGTGTCCCCACCAGCCCCATGCCGTCCGTCTCTCTCTCTTCTCCTCCCCGTGTGGCCGTGGGTCACGGCCAAAGGAGGCCGCCACCGCACGCCACCGCCGTTCGGCGTTCTCGCCGCCAATTCGCGCCACCGTTCGCCGCCGTTCCCGATTAAGTGCCGCCGCTTTCCGTTCTAGCCGCGTGAGTCTAGAACTCGGTAAGTCACGCTCTAAACCCAATTTAGGACTTCGGGTCACTGGCGAGTGGCATGGAAAGGAATGTGATGAGGCAAACGGAAATGCGCGAGAATGAGAATTAATCATGCATGTGATTGCGACTAACGTGCAGGGTGCAAGCAGGATAGGCCAGGTAAACTAATTGATGTGCCTGCTATGTGACGATTTGGCGTTTGTGTGTGATTTGTGTTTGTGTAGTTGTCTGGAGGTACGTGATAGCCTAGGTGGGGTTTAGGGGTGAACTTATTGAGAAGTGTTCTCACGGTTGTTTCAACCAACAATTTCAGAACCCCGACCGGATCCATGAATCCTCCGCCACCGCCACCAGTGCGTTTTGGGGTACCAGTGCACACCGAGAATGATGTTGTAGAATTCCCTATGCCGGATAACATGACCTGGATTAGGCATACTACTACCATTTTTGTAGATGTAGGACTACCCTTATGGGAAACCCATGTATATACTGTCTGGTTCTTCCGGGATGCAGACGGGGATGAGTTTGGGCCGGTTAGGGGTTTCGATGTCCCGTTTGATTTAGTAGGGGACTGGGACCCATCCGCCATACCCCCGATAGACGGTGAGTTGACTAGTGCGGAAACTAGTCTAGCCCAGTCAGGTATGCATCCGGCGCCGGCAGTGCAAGTATCATCAGGGGCTGAACATGAACCCGAACCCGAAGTATCTCAGGCTGAGGACAACCCAATGGATATAGATTTAGAACCGATTCCCGAGGAGGAACTAGAAGGGGTAGAGCCCGAGGTAGAACCCGAGAACGAACCTGACGAGTCTGAGGAGCCTGAGGAGGAACCGGATTACATGCTCCCATATGAGCAGTATATGGATCCTAACTACGTGCCGGATTACAACTTCTTTGATGGATTATGGGAGGAGGATCATAATGATGTTCCAGCTGAGTCGGGTGACATCAATCACCCGATAGAGATCGAGGCAGAACCGAATTCTTCAGAGGAATAGACCGATCAGGAGAGTTCGGATTCCGAAGACGAGGAGTCAGACTCAGAATGGACGCCTAGTAAGGGGCGTAGGGGCTAATGTAAGGGTTTGGAATAGGGAATTTTTGGGAAGTATCACTTTTGAGGTTTTAGTATGGTGTGCACATGTATATTATGGTTTGTAAAATTGTGAATATTATAGTGTAAGTGTGAATGGGAAAAGAATATGTTTATTCTCTCTGATCTTCCCCAGTTGCAAATTGTCCGGGTGATTTGTGGTTTCTGCTGACGATTTAAGTCTCTGATGGTGAATTGAGGTCGGCGATACCCTGGGATATCGCATTAAAAGACCAATGGAGGGTGTCGTACGCTCGATGGGATTCGGGGCGTGACAGCTGGGATTGGAATTTCCCTTCGACTGCAAAGAAGGGAGCTTAATGGAGATGGTAAAGCCAGTGGAGGAACGGAATCTCTTTGTCCTGCATATATTCCACAAATGCTTCATCGAAGTCAACAAAGAGGAGCCGAAGCGGCGCCTTCGGCGATCATTCGACGTTAGGTGCTGCTTGTTTTTCGGTCATAACAAAAGTCGACTTCGTGGCCGACCACCCGTTTCTGTTCTTGATCATGGAGAAAGAATCCAGCACTGTTCGGTTCCTGAGTCTTATCTTAATCTTGTTGCTGAGAGACCAGTGAGTGTGGAATAACGACCGATGAAGAATCTCTTTCTTTTGAGAAACATAAAGTTGAGCTCATCTTTTCAATATGCTAAGTGCTGATTCTCAAGCACAAGATGGTGCCACGCAATGTGTCAGTCACAGTTACTCTTTGTTGAATAAACATTAAATGTCCGTTTTTTATTAGTGCGTTATTTCAGCAGTTTTATAGGAAAATGAAAAGTCAAGAGTCAGCAGTTACTCTTACGGGTGATAATGGGTTTTAATTTTGGTTTATGGCTATTAATAGAATTGCCTATAATTAAGTCTATTTCAGTTTTAGAAGGGCAGACTACAACCTATAAATAAATCATTGTATTGCTTGTAAGGAAGACACAGAATCGAGAATAAAGCCTCTCTTCAAAAAAAATTTTTCTCCACGAGACCATAGTTTTGCAGCCAACAATCATTTTTTTACAAATTGGTATCAGAGCCGATGGGGAGTGTAATCAATAATGTGCCGCTGCCCCGCTTAACGAAGGTGAACTACGAAAATTGGAACATCCAAATGAAAGCTCTTCTCGGTTCTGTGGATTGTTGGGAGGTGGTTCAAGAAGGTTTCGAAGAACCAGAATCTACTGTAGGATATACGGCGGCTCAAAATAAGGCGTTGAAAGAAACGCGATCAAAAGATAAGACGGCATTGTACATGCTGTTCCGAGCTGTTGATGAGTCGGGCTTTGAGAAGATTGCGAGTGCGAAAACTTCAAAAGAAGCGTGGGACATCTTGGAGACTGCGTACAAAGGAGCCGACCGAGTTAAACAAGTTCGCCTTCAAACTCTTCGTAGTGAGTTGGAAGGCATGAAGATGAAGGAGTCGGAAGGTGTGTCCGATTACATCACGCGTGTTCAAACCGTGGTGGATCAACTCAACCGAGATGGAGAAAAGTTGTCCGATGCGCGGGTTGTGGAGAAGATTCTGAGGTCGTTAACCGACAGTTTCGAGAATGTGGTATGTGCCATAGAAGAGTCAAAGGATCTAGCAACGTTCACGGTCGATGAGCTTGCCGGTTCCCTTATGGCACATGAACATCGTAAGAAGAAGAAGAAGGAGGAGACACTTGAGCAGGCACTTCAAACCAAAGCATCGATCAATGACGAAAAGATACTCTATTCTCAAAACTTTCGAGGTAAATGGCGTGGCCGTGGTGGTCGAGGAAATAGTCGCGGTGGGAAAAGCCGCGGTCAAGAAGGGTATCATGAGGAGAAGGGGCAATCAAACCAACAGAATTGGAGTGGAAGAGGACGCGGTCGTGGAAGAGGCGGTCGGTCAAATTATTCCAACATCGAGTGCTACAAGTGTGGCAAATATGGTCACTATGCGAAGAATTGCAATTCCGATAAGTGTTACAATTGTGGAAAGGTGGGGCATTTTGCAAAAGATTGTTGAGTCGAGAAAAAAGTGGAAGAGACAACCAACCTAGCCACAGAAGATGAGGTGAAAGAAGGTTTTCTCTTAATGGCATACAACAAAGTCAACACCGACAACGACACGGTGTGGTACCTCGACACGGCTGCAAGCAACCATATGTGCGGGCACGAGCATTGTTTCAAAGAGATGCGAAAGGTTGAAGCTGTATCTGTATCGTTTGGAGATGGCTCGAAGGTTGAGGTCAAAGGCCAAGGTACGATTTATTATTTACAAAAGGATGGTTTAGTTGGGTCAATTCAAGATGTGTATTACGTACCAGACCTCAAGAGCAACATTTTAAGTATGGGGCAACTCATGGAGAAAGGTTATTCGGTTTTTATGAAAGACCGGATATTACTATTGAA